GATGGTCTCGGTTCAATATTGAGACATTACTTTTTTCAAGTGCATCGAGGGTGGAATTAGGAAAGTCTTTTTTATTGAATTTATAAATCGAATTAAGAGGTTCCATCGCCAAAATTTGGAGTTCTAAATTCGTCCTAGAAAAAGTTTTACTCGAGGAACAGACCAATACATACTCTCGCGGGAATATAATATCCAACAATTTTGAGCGGAATAAATAAAGAAATAGATTTCAGAAACTAAAATGAAGAGGAGCCAAGGTGGTTCGACATTGAACCGAACTGGGACAGGTGTGGGATTGGTCCAAGGCCCTTGGAATCCGGTTCAACCAATTCACCCATTATTAGACTTGGGCATTTTCTTCAGTTTTTCTTTTTAAAAAAAAACACTTCAAAATATCATTAAATTGAATATGTTTCTTATTAGTTTTTTCATCTTCTCCCATCCTGTTTTTCAATCTACATACAAAAACTTTGGATCAAAATTATTTTTTTGCTAAAAACTTGTAGTTCATAGTCTGCCTGATTCTCTCACCCCGAAGTCATGCTTTCTTGATTGATCTTTTGTTATTTCGACAATTTTTTATCAAAACTTATGACAAAATCTTCCTCTTTTATAGATCTTTAATAACGATATATTCCGAAATAAATGATTTATGGCATTAAACTTTGATGTATTGAGGAAACTAAAAATTTGGAAATTTTTTGAAGAGAAACATTTAAAAAAAAACTCATTTTTTGAAGAAAAAGGATTGAATAAAAGCATATTGTATCAAAATCTAAATTGCTTTGATCTAAGTTATTTCAATAGATTGAATTTTCTTTTTGAACATATTTTTTCAAAACGTTTTTTCACAGTCATTTTTCATTTTTTCAAACAGTTTTCATTGGATTCTATTATTGGTCATTTCCAATCTATTTTTTGATATTTTTTTAACAACATATTTCATTGAATTTATTTGAAAAATGATCATGCAATGAAATTTTCTCTTTTTTGTTCTTTTGGCTTTTTAATGAATTTCATGGCATGCCGAACCAACTTACTAAGTGGGCCCATGCCAGCTTGGACTTGGTGGGCACAAATTCGACACCCTGAGTTGATTTTTTATACTTGAGTTCAAATGTGCTACATGTAGCATCATCGTTGATGCATGCATCAACACAAATATGTTATACATTTGATACCAGGAAATCACAATCACTTTAGCTATTGGATGAAAAATTTAATAGATGAAAATGTCACAACATTCAAGAAATTTTATTTTGGATCTTGTGCTCAAATAATGACACATCATCAACCACCCAACTTTAAATCTAATGGTCAATGGTGATTGCGACATCCTTGTTTCAAAAGTAAATGGTATCCTTGTATATATTTCCTTATAATATAGTATTTTGAAAATTGGGGAGTCGGCTTGGAAAAACCCCGATCTTGAACTAAGGACCCCCTAAGTTTCAATGGCTTTACTTTTTATTATGTTTTTAGCTTTCTCAAAAAATTATCCAAGTTGGCTCGATTTGGTGGACTACTGGTTTGTTAAGCCTGTCTAGGTTTTAACACACTCATGCTGCGTATCAACTATGATCCCCTATTTGGAACAACCCCGATCTGGAACTAAAGAGCCCCTAAGTTTCAATGGCTTTACTTTTTATTATGTTTTTCGGTTTCTCGAAGAATTTTCCAAGCTTGCTCAATTTGGTGGACTACTGGTTTGTTAAGCATGTCCAGGTTTTAAAACACTCGTACTGCATATCAACTACAATTCTGCTGACACCACTTAATAACACTTTCCAAAAAGCGAACTCCCTAATATATACGAAAAACGGGTAGGGGCATGTCTTCCCCACTGACTTACCAAAACAAAACACTACAATGTGGGTACCCATAAGAGTATTCTAAAGAAAGCCAAATGCGATGAATAAAATTCTCAAGAAACTTTGAGAAGAAAGATCGAGGATGCCAATGTAGAAGAACTTAGAAAATTAATTTGAGTCTAAAAATTCAGTAGAACCTAAGTGAGGGATTGGTAGGAGGATTGAGTCGCATGTAAAGTTTTAGTTCTAAGGGGAAATATCGTTGAGGTGGCTCTAATCAGATTGCTGTGCACTTTAGACCCCCATGAACTCACCCCAGTTCCTTGTTGGTACGTATGGGTGGTCATGGGGCCTCAAGTGTGTCATATTTTTCTCTCTTTATCTTTATTATACATTTTAATATTTATCACTTAAAAAAAGGCTTCTTCGAGATAGAAGATGCCTTTATCCAAATGGCAGAAGATAACTAACTACCCACCTCCCAGGATTAGAGGGCCATGTTTCTCAAAAATTCGAAGAGGAAAACCAAACGTTGGAGAATGACATCCTCCTATCCTTCTTTAAAAAAGGTTTCATAGCTAAGGAGAGGAACACAAAGAAAACATAGAGTTCTCAATTGTTCTGGTAAAACCAGATCTCTACAATTCATAGTCTCACGACACTGCCATCAATACCTGAGAGCTTGGTGGTTTATCTCTTCCCCACAACAATCCAACATTGGTATCAGAGCAAGGTTGATGTCAATGTGCTACTAAGATTTTTCATTTATGCTCCTTGCCTATGCAGTCATCGCTCATCCCTCTCACTATCCCTTAAGCTTTCTGCAGTTATCTTGTTAAGCATCTGTGGTTTCCTTATTAGTCAAGAGGCAAGAAGGGTCAACATAAATTCACTGCATTGCAGCGAATTTCAATGAAAATAATTTTTCTCTTCTCTACCATAAAGGTTCACCACAATTTTTGATTATCTGGTAATGTTGAAGTAATCAGTTAATTATTTCCCCAATTAAAGAACATATCGTTCCAATTTTTCCTCTCTTGGATGTACATAGAGGATAAAAATTCTTCAGCCCAAATATTTGACTTTTCAATTGAATTTTCTCACCGAATTTCAGTGAACACGTAACCCTCCTAGCAAATTTAAGGCTTCTCAAAGAAACCATATTATCTCTATAAGATGTTTTGTGGTTCTTTTGTTTTTTTTTTTTTTTTTGTAGTTTCTTTATTATGCATTGGATATATACATAATTCCCTTTACATGAAATCATCGGTATTCTCTCTAAGATATTCAGTGCTTATCTGTTTTTTTTGTAGTTATTTTATTATGCATATGATATATACATAATTCCCTTTAAACAAAATCATCAGTATTCTCTCTCTAATATATTTTGTGCTTATTTTCATTTTTGTAATTTATTTATTATGCATTGGATTTATACATAATTTCTTTTCAACGAAATCATCAGTATTGAAAGGAGAAAGAAAAACTTTGAACCAATCCAAAACTCTAAGGTCTTCTCTCTAAATCTCTCTCGGAAGCTGCTATAAGTATTGTAACAATCCTAAAATTTCAAAAAAAAAAAGAAAAAAAAGAGAGGAGAAAAGATGCTTTTAAATAGGTGATGGTCTGTTTGAGTATGATGGTCCTTGGGGACCATCACTATTTTCAAAAACTTTTACTTGGTTTAAAACTTTTGCTGCTGCTTTTGTTTGCAGCCTTTGCAGTTGCTGCTTGCAGCTGGCAACGTCCTTTAGCGGACGTGGTTTTCGAATGTTGAAAGCTGACGCTTAACGCGACACCTCAAGTATGAGGTAGAGCGTAATAAAATATTATAATAATACGTTATAAGAATTTAAATAGGGGAGGTGAGCACTCCCACCCTAGAAAATTTTGAGATCTCTCTCTCTCTCTGATCGAAACACAGTGAACTCCTCTCTCGAACCGAATTTTTTTATCAAAAGCTCCCTCTCAAACAATTGTGGGTAAGTGACATCGTCTTCCCGAAAATTAGTCTATTTTTAATAAATAGTGATATTTCCGTCAAGGATCTTTATTTTATTAGTTTTATGTGTAAGTGACCTCATTGTCTTGAAAAATAATTCATTCTTTTTAAAAATAAAGTGAAATAATTATTTCTGCTTATTATCATGAATTTTAGGCGCGATAAATTTTATGCGCACGTGACCTCATTATCTTGAAAATTAATCTTTTTTTAATAAAAATTGTGATATTTTATCTATGTTAGAAATTTTGAATGCTGTAAATTAGAAAAATAAAATTATTTATTTTTCTTGTCTATTGTTAGAAATAAATGTGATATTTCTGCTTTTAGTAAAATTGTGATATTTCTTTTCTACTATTTTGAATATTTAGACATGTAAAAATTCATGTGCAAATGACTGCCTTATTATTTAAAAATTAACATTTTTGTAATTAATTATAGTATTGTTGTGAAATGTTTATTTGTGGATTGATATCCCATAAATTGTGATAATTCCGTATTCTTGAATTTTTATAAGAGTTTTTCTATACATATTAAATTGGCAATTATGCTAGAATGCCTTTACAAACTGCTACATTTCTAAATTTGAGCCCAAAATATTTGATTGGTTATTTTTGAAATGTTATAGAGAGTGACTGTTATTAATGGTTTAAGTGAAATTCATATTAATGATTTCAGTGATATGTTGAGTACATGATATTGCTGCTTTCGAATGTTTAAAGAGATTTAGAAATAATTTAAGTATGCAAGTGGACTCATCCGGTTCACCGGTGAGGTATAAGTGGACCTATCTGGGACGCCGGTAGGGATTAAGTGGACTCATCCGGTACGCCGGTGAGGTATAAGGGGACCTGCAGGGATTAAGTGGACCTATCTGGGACGCCGATAGGGATTAAGTGGACCCATCAGGACGCTGATGGGGTATATAGGTGACCGACTTGGGACGCCAGTAGGGTATTTTGTGAAATCTTTTGAATTATGCACTGCCGTTAAAAGTGTTATAAGCATTTCAATTACTCGGATTATACTTAATTATGCATTTATTGAAAGTGAAACTGTTGATACATTTCTGTTAATAGATCTCATTTTGGAAAATATTGATATCTTTCAATCATGATTATTTTTAGGATTATGATGATCACTTACTGAGTAGCCAAACTCATCAAACTATAGTAAACATTTTTCAGGATAACTGCGGATTCATTTTGAGTGCTAATCAAGATCAACCTTGGAAGATACTGTTGTTGTGCTAGCTTTCTTTATTTACTTTGTAAGACCTCGCCACTGTAAATTTGTCCTATCAATAGATGTATATATGTTTTGTCTGTCACATCTCGAGAATAACAGTATTGTAAATTCTCGGGGTGTGACAATTATGGTGTCAGAGCAATAGGTTTGAGATCCTTAGGAAATTTAAAAAGAATGTACTTAAAAATCACATTTATTGTGTGTACAGACCAGGATAAAGTCAGGATCCAGAATAGCTGAAGCCAATATGGAAGGAATTCACAAAGCCTTGGAAAATATGGTTGCTCTAATGCAACATCAGATGGAAAACAACAATTCACCCAGACAGTCCGTTACAGGAAATGGTGGGAGTAATATCGAACAATTTAAGAAATTAAACTCACCTTCTTTTAAGGGTGTTGTAAACCCACTGGTGGCGAATGGCAAAAGGAGTATTGGTCAAAGAAAATAAAACCTTGACTTGGGAAGTATTTCTAGAGGCATTTAATGTAAAATATTTTCCAGATTTTATT